GAAGAAGAGAAAAACAGAATTATTAACATAATTGAAAAGGTCCCAGATTTAGTAACGGAAAATAAAAACTTACGTGAAGAACTAAATTACTGGAAAAATAAAGTTGTGGTTCTCCAAGCACAGGTAGACAATAATTACAATGCTGCTAGTTACAATTATGAATTATGTATGAACTATGAATCCAAAATCACTGACTTAACTCAATCATTACAAATTATGGAAGACAAAACTAAAGAAATGAGTGAAGAATATACCAAGAAAGAACAAGAAATGAGTAAAGAATTTAACCAAACGATAACAAAACTAAAAGATAAAATCAGTCAATTACAAGAAAAGATTATTCTCTTAAATGAACAAAAAGAGAAACTTTTAGCAGACGTTGGTAGTGCAAAAACAAGGGGTGAAACCAAAGAAGTAGAGTTACAAGACCAAATCAGTATTTTAGAAAACAGTGATAAAGAAAAACACGCCCCAATACAACAACAAAATAAACCAAAACAAGAAGCGATAACAAATGAAACAAATAAAAACACTCCCGAAAAAACTAAAGAATTAGAAAAAATAATAAATGAGAAAAGATCTAATGAAGCTATGAAAATTATAGAAAAGCTGGGTGGTATTAAAGCACTTGCCAAAAATACAAACCTAAACAATATGTCTTGGTCTTACAATCCACAAGAGGATGGACTTTTTGAAGTAATTACTTTTTGTGATGATAAAAGTTGCTCTTTTACTGTAGTTTATAACTCACAAGAAATGAATAAAGAAGAAACCCAGCCATATTGCCAGATCACTAATAATCATTTAGATGTTTTTTATTTATCGCCAGGAACTTATGAAATCTTTGCATATAATGATCAATCGTTAGAGAATATTGGGTATTTAAAAATAACAATTAACTAAAAATTTTTGGTAAATTTAAGTTACTTTTAATAAAAAAGCATTTAGCCATTACATTACTGTGATTAGATTTTATAATAGTAATAAAGAAATGACACTTACAATTTTTAATTCATCTTTCAAAAAAATAAATAGTATTTATAATAACTCTTTATTATACATAAAGGAAAACTAAGATATTAATATATTGTTAAAAAAGGTTTTAAATTCAAATAATAATATCTTAATTAGTATTTGTTTTCTTTAAGTCCATCCTTGAAGAAATAGAAAGTTGGATTGACTCCATCATGATACATAGCTACTGCAACCATACCATTATCAGTATCGCAAGATTCACCTGAATAGAAAGAACAATCTTTGAAAGCTCCAATAACTTTCTTAACAAATGCAGTAGCATCTACTTTGAATTGGTCAAGTTTTTCTGGATGATTTTGTTGAAGATAATCAGCCATTTTCTTCATATATCCTTTAATATGAGCCATATATTCAGTCTTTGTGAATGCTTGTTCAACTAAATGAGCATTATCAACAACATCAATAACCTTTTCAACATTAGCTTCTCCGGCTTCTCCTGCAGCTCCTTCTTCTGCATCTTCATCAGCATTACAAGCAATTCCAAAATCTTCTTCTTTTTTTACAACAAATTTAGCCTTAACGACATACATGCATCCCTCAACAGTTGGGTTAAATGAATCAGAGAACATTTCATCATCAGTGAAGATATCAGCAAATACAATCATTTCAGACTAATTGAATGATTATTATAAGACCTTTTTCCTTAAATATTTCCTTCCTTTATCCAACCCTCAGGGTTGTTTTTCTTTTTAAAAATTCCTGTTTATTCTTTTTATTTTTCGGGATTGTTCTTATTAGTAACCCTAATTTTATTTTTAGATATCTTTTCATTTAAATTTCACTTTAAAATGTTATACATAACTTAAATTTAATCACCGATATTTTTTAATTATTTTTATTTCAATTTCTATTCTTAACACAGTAAGTAACAATAAGGTTTTGTGATTTATATATAATATTTGTATTTTAGTAATGATTTATTGTCATTAATTCACAATAACAAAGAAATTTCTTGATTATGTTTCTCAAGTATAGAATTTTTTGTTGATTTTTTATAGAAAAACATTCTTTTTCTTATTTTGAATATAATATGGAATTATAAAAAAAATTTCACTGGTTTATGAAATAAAATGAATTATGAAGTAAAGTTTATTTTTTTTTTGATAGTACTATATGGTCAAAGCAATGTTTTTTTGTGTATTCATTTTTTAGTTATTAGTGAGTGTTATAAATATTATTAATTATTTGAATAATTCACAACAACTCCATTAAATATATACTAATACTAGAGGATATGATTATTTATGATTATTTAAGTATTTAAAAAAGTTGTAAGAATTTTAATAAATTATTTATTTATTATAAAAGAAAAGATCAAATAAGAAAAAACTTGTTAAAATAAGAGTTATTTTCGGTTAGAGAGAAGAAAATCTCTACATAAAATAAAAATCTTTTTTTATTTTATATTGGAGGAATATTATGGAATAATTCATTATATAATTTGAAAAAAAGGAACTTAAAATAATATTAGAATGTTAAAAATGTTTATCATTTTCTTATTCCTTGTTGGAGTACTTTCTAATTATCTTAAAAACCCTTCATTTGAAGAAGGCAATGGAATAGATATAACTAATTGGAGAAACCAATTTGAGACATGTCAAATTGACACAACAATTTCTCATTCAGGGAAAAAATCACTTCATTGTAAAGATGCGTCAACGAGTCAAAGAGGTGGAATTAAACAACGTGTTGATAATTTAGAAACTGGAATGACATATAAATTGTCAGCATATATTAGAATGAAAGATGTACAAAATGGAAATGTATTAATATTTTCTGAAAGTTTAGATTCAGAAGAAGGGATTTATGGATATAGTAGTTCAATAACTGAATGTACATCTGGTACTTGTAATGATAAATGGTATTTATTGGAAATTGTTGGAAATAGTGGTTTTATACAATCATCACATACCTTTGGAATATTATTACATGCTGCTGGTGCATTAGGAGAGTTTTGGATTGATGATGTTTCAATGGAAGCAGTAAATCCTGATATATTAACAACACTTCAAGTTGTTTCATGGAGACAAGAAGCATACCAGGATGATATAGAAATTCGAAGTGGTATTAATGTAGAAAATACAATATTTGAAAAAGGAGACTATTTATCTTTTAAATTAGAACTCTCATCCCAAACTACTTCTTCAAAATTAACTTCAGACACATATACACTTAAAAAGGAATTACGTCAACGTATTGTCTCTTTTATTATTAACCCATCAACACTCAGTCCAGGTTATTATACTGTCAAATTAACTTGTACAAATTCTTATAAAACACAAAAAGTTGAATCAATAGAAACAACTCTTAGAGTACTTGATCATAAACCTTCTTATACAACATATATTGATGAACATTTAATTACATGGAAAGATGGTAAAAAATTCTTCCCATTAGGACTTTATTTTGATGAAATTGTTGATTCTGACCTAGAGTTATTAAAAGACAGTCCATTTAACCTTATCATTGGACCAGGTGGAATGACACCTGAAACAATACAACATATTTATACTGCTACTAATAAACAAATTAATGTCATTAGACCAGTGACTAAAGGTGCTTGTGTTGATCCAAATAAATGTTCTGAACAAGACTTCAATGATGGATTAGTTATATTAAAAGGATTAATTTCACAATTTAAAGATATTGAAGGATTTTTTGGATATTATCCAGTAGATGAACCATTAACAACATTTATTGATAGACTAAAACAAGTCACTTGGACTATTAGAGAAAATGATGAAAAACATGTTGTTTATACAGCTGTTAATAAAAACAGAGAAGTAGCTACTCTTAAAGAAGGTATGGACTGTTTTGGATTAGATGTTTATCCTGTTCAAAATGAAGAGCCATTGTATGCTGTTTGGCTTGTTGCAGAAAGAGGAAGAAAAGGAGTTGCAAATGGACAAGGACTATGGAACATTATCCAAATCTTTGATTGGACTGTTTATGAAAAACCAAATGAAGAACCACCAACTGAACAACAAATAAGACAAATGACCTATCAAACTATTGCTGGAGGTTCTATGGGTATTATTTATTATGATTTTACCGATTTACATAGAATGAATAGTAAAACATCATTTGATAAACAATGGAATTCAGTAAAAAAGATTGCACAAGAACTAAAAGATAAATATGTTGATATTATTTATTCTATTGACACACCAAATGAAAATTATAATCTTCCAGAACAAGGACATGATGTTGGGACAAGAATATGGAAAAAAGATAATAGTGACTATATCCTTATTGTTAATAATCAAAATAAAGAAATTACTTATACATTTGATAGACCAAGTGAAGATTTGAATTTAAAAATAATTAGCGGAACATCAACTATTCAATATAATGGAATACATGTTACTTTAAAAATGCCATCAATGGATGTTGTATGGCTTAAAAGTGATGAATATAAAGAAAATAAAACAAATTCTCTTCAAATACTTACAATTATTTTAATAATAATGTTATGGTTCATTTAATTGATTACTTATTCTAAAAAACTATTTAAAATGGTTATTTGGAAAGTTTAAAAGAAGTTGTTAAATTGTTTTATATTTTAAAATATTTTTTAGATTTAAAATTAATTTTATACTAAGAATTATTATATTGAATGTTAGATTTTAATTTCAATATAATTTTGTTAATTAAAAAATAAAATATTTAATACCATTTATTAAAAGGTAACTTTTTTATTTAACTTTCATTTAATATTTAGTTTAAAGAATTTTGATACTTCCAAAAAGATTTCATTACTTCAGCAACAAGCCTAGTCATAGAGTCAACATCAGAGATACCTCCAATTTCTCTTATTGAATGCATTGATAATAAAGGAATTCCAAAATCAATAACATTTAACCCAGTATGTGATGCAATTTTTGGACCAATAGTACTTCCTCCTCCTCCTTTTTCTTGTCGTTTAACAGTTCTTTGAAACTTTACTCCAACCTCTTCTCCTAGTTTAGACATAATTGCAAAAACATTAGAATCACCAAGTAGTTGTTGACTACAATTAGTTTCAATAACTAGTCCATGATTCATATAAACTGGGTGTTTATCATCAGTTCTATCTGGATAATTTGGATGTGCTGCATGACCAACATCAGTACTTAAAACAATAGACTTACTTTCTCCAATTTGAATTCTTTCTTCTATTCCTTTTTCATCATTAAAACAATAAGCAATACGTTTCATGATATTTGGTAACATCACTGAATTTGCTCCTCTTCTATTGGTTGATCCTATTTCTTCATCATCATAAATACAACTCATAAGAATATTACAATTTTCTTCTAATAACTCATCTTTACTTGACCTAACCATTCCATAAATTGCTCCGTATGAACAAATCAAATTATCAAGACCTTGTCCAACAACAAATTCTTTATTCATTCCTAATAAACTTGGTTTTTGTATGTCACAAAGATATAAGTCATATGTTATAATTGATTTATTTCCAATTCTTTCTTGAATTAATTCTAATAATTCTTTCTCACTTAATCCAATAGCAGGTAATTCTGTTTCTTTATCAATAATAAATCCTTTTGGATATCTTTTATCTAAATGTGGTGCACATGTAGCAATTCTATACAAAGGCTCTTTAATAACAATAGGAATACTTTTAAATTGTCCTTCTTCTTCGACAACAACTCTTCCACAAATTCCTAAATCACGATCAAACCAAGTAGTCCATACTCCTCCACCATAAGTTTCACATGAAACTAAATTTAATTCTTCTGATTCTTTGAAAGGGTTTGGTTTTAATTTTAGTGATGGACTATCTAAATGTGCACCAGCAATAATAAACCCATTTCCAATTTCCTATTAAATTAAATTTATTTTTATTATTATTATGACAAACAAAC